GAGCAGTGGGCAGCTAAGTGAGCTGCCCGGGGAGCAATTCGGGATTGGATGTCCTGCTCAGAGACACCACGAGATGTGCAATGAGCCCCTACACCATCTTGGCCCCTACATTTATTTAGTATAACTTTAGGTTATTTTAGTGCCCCTGTAATGACTCCTGGTATCTGTCATCACCTGGAATCGAACAATTTCGTTTTCATCTTGCAGCGTGCTCGGTGTCTCCTCCAAGCAGCACATGAAGAACGCTGTGTCAAACCTCGTTGTGCCATATTGGCCTTCGGGAGTCAGCCAGTTGGACCACTCATGTAAAGCCCAGATGTTGGGCAGCACCTCCAACTCCCTGCACATCCTGATGAAGTTGGATGGGTTCTGGTTCACCAGGGCTCTCCACTGTGTGAGCTCCCTGCTGCCCACATCAGGCCGCACGTGTTGCTGAGCTTCACATCTGTCCTCAGCTCTTTGTAACAAACGCTCCTCATCTTTTTTAGACACAACCAGCAGCACACCGGATTCCTCAAACGTCTCCCTCACGTCGCAGATCCTCAGGGCGACCTCTCCCGGAACAGGGGAGCCCAGTTTTCGGCGGTCAGTCGCGAAGATTGGGGGTCTGCGCTCCACGGGCTGCTTTACTGTTCTTAACCCAAAACTGGGGGAGCTAGTGAAGGATTTGAAAACGTCCAACCAGTCGCTTGAAAAGTCCGAAGAGTCGACCATGCCGCCAGGAAACACATAGGCATTAGGCATAAATCCGCTCTTGGAGCTGCGTTTGAGCAATAAAACGTCGTAATCAAAGTCGGACCTGTGGTGCAGGAGTGACCCTCCGTCACCGCCGACCCCCGGAGTCCGACATGATAACCCTTCCGCGCCGAGCTTGTGTCCTGCGGCTAAAATGACTGTAGCCGCCTCCCTCCAACGCTTCAGCGCCGTGTTCATTATCAAGCTAATGGATTTTTACACAGTTCGCAGCACAGACATTTACATGTATATGGTTTGCAACCTCTTAAAGTTTACTTCCTGTTGTCTTTGAGCCGCTGTTCGCTTTGGTGACGTAATTAACGACAGATGCGCGTTACTACCGCCCCCTACCGACCGGATAACCGGATGACCTGCAGTTTTTTTTTTTTTAACTTTATTGAACTACTGAACATAATAGAACAAAAGAACACAAATAGAACAACAAACGACAATCTCAAATTACAATGATACATATAAACATATACAAATATCTACAATCATACCTCCTAAGGTCAATATATTCTAAAACGAATTATCATATCAACCATCATAAACTTAAAAATGAGGTAATAATACTATTTGAGAGTTTGCAAATAATATAGTACAGTAAATTAAACAACCAACTATTTATCTAAGAATCTACATAATTACTAAAATAATTTGTCAGAGGGCTATATTATCTGAGCGAGGTGATCAGAAAGCTTTTTTGCTTGTGGTTTTTTAGCACAGTCTAATGAACGTTTTAACAACTGGAGTTCTTGTTTGAATACAGACCATAATGGTTTAGACTTGCCATATCTGCATTTATGTATATAGAATTTCAATATTATGATAATGTTATTGACAAAGTATTAATCTTTTTTATTTTCAGATACATATCCATAATATATTCTGAACGGAGAAGGAGTCTATGTTCATAGATTTGATGGTCAGGAGATCGTGAAGGGATTTCCATAACGTGTTCACAGAATGACAGAAATAAAATAAATGTTCTGTTGTTTCAGGTTCGTTACATATATAACAGTTATCACATTCAAATTTAAATCTATTTCTGATAAACTCGTTAGAAGGATAAATATTATTTAGAGTTTTGAAATGTAATTCTTTATATTTAGATGGAAGAGGGAAACCCAGATATGTTGTCAGTATTTTTATTCTTTCCTTCTTATCATAGAAATTGTGAAACTTTCTTCTTACCTGACCAGGATATATTGTTTATATTAAATGTTGTCTTAAAAATTTGTTGTTGCATTTATTGTGTGTTAAATTGAGATTGATGCTCGGTAAACTAATAGTTGGTTTAGTTTC